ATATATATATATATATATATATATACCTGAAAAATGAATTCTTTCGTTAGCCTCCGAAATCGGAATGCAGCCAAGCAATAAGTTATTTATTTTTCCTCCTTTTGGTACAAATGAAAAACAAGGTCGGGGTAGGGACACCTCTGCTCGTTAGGGTGACTTCTTTCTTCTATCCCAAAATTCCCAAAATTGACCAGCTGGTTTGTTGGTTTAAACTTTGATATCTCTGTTTGGCTTTGCCCTTCTACCTAGTCATGGACTCATGGTCTCTGCATCTTCAATGGAAGTTCCTTTTTCCCTTTTAAACATTACTTTAGTAGCAACCCGTGCGATGCAGCCTTTGTAAGGGGAGCTTTAACTTGATAAACACGAATGGACTCCGTTAGAAATCGGGGAAATGAATGATGCCGAACAGACATGCATTTGGTTTGCGGCAGATCTGTCCGTTAAAAGCCCGTGTGTTGAAAAGACGCCACAAGTTCAAATTGGGCAATTTTTCAAAAGTTTTAAATAGAGTTTTTATGTTTTTTTTTTTTTTTCTATTCATCTTCATGCAAAAAGATACACACGAAAAGACAAGTCTTAACCAAACGGGTTTCATGCTGCTCAGATCTTAATAGATGATTGTGACTTTGATGAATACCACTTTAATGGTCACCTCTTTTCTGATATCAGCTGATTGTTTATAATTTTTTTCCAGTGTCATGTCTATCTAAATTACTTTAATTTTTTTAGTTATTTACATTAACCTTATAAATTAAATTAAATTTGACCAAAGTAAAGTCACCCTTGGGAACTAGGAGTGTTCACTATATGGTCTACATTGTCAAATCGCACAGAACCAAATCAAATTTGACAGTTTGGTCTGTGTTCTTTAAATTTTAGAAACCATACCAAATCATAAACCATATAAAATCGAATCATTAATAATATATTTAATAATTAATGTATATAATATATATGTTTAAACATATGTATGTATGTATATATTCATTTAACATTTCAGACATTATTGTTTGTTTCATTTTTTAAATTGTAATTTGATGTTCAAGGAGTTGCTTATATATATATATTGTGCTTGTAAATTGGGTTAAGAACGTGTGTTGCACATGAAATATTTTTCTTCATATTAATTACTTGAATTTTACAGATAAAAATTGAAAATTAATAAAAAGTACAATATGATTAAAAATAAATTTAAATACTTATAGTAATGTGTGCATGCATTGCATGTGAAAATTTTAAATTACAATAACAATTATTATTATTATTATTATTATTATTATTATTATTATTATTATTATTATTTTAATTATTATTATTATTAAATTTTGTATTCCATTTGTCATAAATAAAAATAATTTTTATTTTAACAATTATTTTATTTAATATGATGAATATATACATTAGAAATATTATAAAATGTTTTTGACAAAATTTTGTACTTTTCATTTTTTGTGTTCTATCTTTTTTTAAATATTTATTATTCAATTATGATATCATGATTTTCCTTAAAAAATTTGGATCATTGACCCACCATCTAGATAAGAAAATAACTTTGCTTTCGAATCAGTTTTAAATTATATATTTCATCTACATTATATAAATAAATTTTACTTATCACACTTAATTTGTGTTTGACATAATTAATATATAATTTCTTATATATTCTTTTGATTACTTATACTTTTTTATCTTTTTTAAAAAATTATTATTTAACTATCATATCATCGATTGATTATTTTGACCCAAACCACTAACCCACCACCCAAAAAAGAAAATGATTGATTTCTAATCGATTGATTATTTCATCTACATTATATCATCGATTGATTATCTTTTTTATCTTTTCATTATTTTACCAAAAACTACTTATTTTTGTTCAATATATTGAGTGCATAATAGTAGAGATGCACCCAATATTTTATTTTTTTATACAAATATAACATTAGATATGTGCCCAAATTTTTCTATATTTTTGTGATTTTTTGTATTTTCTATTTTAAAAAATTTTATTATTTGACTATGACATCATTTCATCTCTAGGTTAATTGTAAATTTGGCATTCCATTTTCATCACTAATATACGTTAAATATATTAAATATATGACATTCTTTTCATTATTTTGAAAATATATCTTAAATATAAGATTGAATGAGAAAATATATAGGAAAATAGTTTTATTTCCAATTTGTTTTAAATTTTACATTCCATTTTCATATTGATAAAAAAAATCTTATTTATAATACTTATTTTTGTTTAATATGTCAAATATATGATGTTAAAAATGTTTCCAATTTTTTTTTATTTTATCTATTTTTGAATTTTATTATTAATTGTGGCAACATGAATTTTTATTTTGACAAATATTTTTATTTAATATGATGAATATAAAACATTAGAAATGTTCCCAAACGTTTTCAACAAAATTCGTTACTTTTTCATTCTTTGTGTTCCATCTTTTTTTTTAATATTTTTTATTTAACTATGACATCTTAAGTATCTTTGAAAAGTTGAATCATTGACCAACCATCTAGATAAGAAAAAGATTTTCTTTCGAATATACTTAATTTCTGTTTGATATAACTAAGATATAATTTTTTATCCATTCCTTTGATTACTTGCACTTTTTTATTTTTAAAGATTTATTATTTAACTATTGATGGAGGGTGATTTGGCCCGATCTCGCAGCACAGGTACACGTGGGCGTGACCCTGCTCAAACAGTGACTCAGCATGACAGCGCAACGGATGCAACCACAACTCGGAGGGAAGGTCCCTCCGAGTTCAGCTCGGCAACTGGGCGGATAAACTACTCGCCGGGAGCCACCTTACCTGCACCTCATCCCCGGGGTTAAGGCACTTCGGGTCGGGGCGCCCTGACCTCTCTTGAGGCCCGAGCTCCTCCCAATGGACCTCGGGCCACTCCCAGACAAGAACGCACCGATCCATCTCCGGACACCCCGAGGTATAGACACCTCGGGTCAGCCAGCTCGGCATAGCTTGCCACAGGCAGCACACCGCTTACGGGATAACCTGGCACAGGGTAGCTCGGGGAAGGGTAGTCCGTCACATCGCAGGAAGACCCTTTGCCGACCACCGTACCCAACAAATCTGGGAACAATGGCCATATCCCTCATCAGACAGCGTCGTGTCTGCCACCTTCAGAGGGTGCCTTCCACCTGACAGGTACGTACACTGCGACGACGGCCCCGCGCGTGCCACCTCAGCCCTGTCAGTAACGGCTGCGGCAGGCTGACARTGGCGGTTATACCCGCCCTGTCAGAGGCCTGTGGGCCTGATACAATGGATTTCTGTTATAAGGAGCTAGTATCAAGGAACGGAGGTATCATCTTGAAATCTCTTGCGCTACCTCACTCTTAGTTTTTACCTTCTCTTTGCTTCTTACTCAGAATACTGACTTAATCGTCGGAGCATTCCTGTCGAAAGAACCCCCCGGGGATTCTTCTTTTTCCTCATCTCAGGTACTTCTTGGGAAGCCACGCGAGTGCCAGCTAGGAGTGACCGGATCACGCTATATCATTTGGCGTCGTTTGTGGGAAACGCTTCAAATGACCTTTCTCTCTAAACTTTCACAGTTCTTTTCTTCCTTGAAAAAACTCAACACTTATGGCTTCCTCAAGCAAC